GGGGTACCCCCCCGACGGGGGCCAACCTCGCCTCGTCGTCGCGCCGCGAGTTGGGTCGGAGCGCCTTCGGCGCGCGGTGGCTGCCCGCGAGGGGTGTCGATGTGGGGCTGTCGGCGGGGGTGATGCCCCCCCGACGCTCATTTAGAAACTCGGGGTAGCTTCCCTCCTCTACTCCTCTACCTCTTCCTCTGTAGGGAAACGATAAATAACATAAACATGCAGATTCGGAGGTCCGCGCGGATTTCTTGGATCCGCGCTGGACCCGCCCTGGCGCGCAGAGCGCGCAAGGGCCGGCGCATGAGGCGCCGCCAGGGAGCCCCAGCGCCGATCCGAGAAATCCGCGTGAACCTCAGAGTTTTTCTGTTTATGTCATTGTTCGTTCCTCTACTCTCCCTCCTCCGCTCCCTCCTCTCCTCCTGCCAAATAGTGTCAACACAATGCTATACCGTACAAGGCTATGCCCTGCTACGACATCCGACTGTGCGAATAGAGAGGAGGTCTAAGTCATGGTAAGGGATGGGAGGGAGGGGTAGGACGTCAGATATCACGCGAGCGCACCTAGATTGACGTTCCCCACTCTTGAGCAGGGACCGACCGTCCCGGAATTCCTGTAGTCATACCACAAAATGTTCTTAGAACCCAAAGCTGTTCTAAGAACATAAACAATGTTCTTAGAGCATAAGCCCGATGTGCTCAAGCGAGACAGACCCCGCCAGAAATGTTCTAAGAACATTTCGTGGAAACCACAAAAGGTTATTCGAACATTGTTTGGTAGGGCTACAGGCACGCCGGGACGCTTCGCCACTGCTTGATACGCTCCCTCCTCCGCTCCCTCCTCCGCTCCCTCCTCCGCTCTCTCCTCCTCCTGCCCCGCGAGCGCACCTAGCTTGTCGTTTCCCTACTCTCCCTCCTCCGCTCCCTCCTCCTCCTCCTCCTCCTCCTCCTCCTCCCTCCTCCTCCTCTCCTCCTCCTCCTCCTCCCCTCCCTCCTCCTCCTCTCCTCCTCCTCCTCCCCTCCTCCTCCTCCTCCTCCTCCTCCTCCTTCCTCCTCCTCCTCCTCCTCCTCCTCCTCCTGATTCCGACGTGTCCATCTATTTCCCCAACGATCTGACTGTATACGCCCTCCTGGCCGCAGGCAGGTGGGTGCGCACTCTGCACGCCATCCCGAGGCCTCGTCCTCCTCCTCCTCGTCCTCGTCCTCCTCCTCCTCGTCCTCCTCCTCCTCCTCCTCGTCCTCCTCCTCCTGCTCCTCCTCCTCCTCCTGCTCCTCCTCTTCCTCGTCCTCGTCCTCCTCCCCGCTGCCCCCGCCGGGGCCCACGACGCGCCGAGGGGTGCCCCCCTCGGGGGCGCGCGGGGGGGGGGGTATAGGGGGAGGGGGGACGGCTTCTTCAGGGGGAAAACAAACCTACCTCGCTTTTGACCACCCTCGCTTCCAAGAGATACCAAGCGATGCCAAACTACGGCCTGTACTGGTCAGGCCGCTTGACGAGGAGGCGCGTGGTATGACTTGGTTTTGCCTGGAAGCGAAAGCGGGGTAAGTAATTCACGCTAAGATTCTTAGAGGCACCTCGGGGATCTTCTGACCCGGGTCAGTCAAGCCTTGCAGAATCCTGCAGATCCTGCAACATCCTGCACCCAAGCCCGGGTCAATGCGAAGGATCCTGCAAGAGACTGCAGGATCCTGCGCCCAAGCCCGGGGCAATGCGACCCTGGCCCTGCAGGATCCTGCAAGATCGGGGGCTCTGGCTGACCCCCGTTTGCATGGACCCCCGCCTCAAGGCTCCCGAGCACCCCTGCTTCTTAAAGGCGCCGGCCTCACGTCTACAGACGAGCCCGCGCCTTCAGAGAAGCAGAGGGCTGCTTCTGAGAAGCCTTCCCCCCTCCCCCTATACACCCTGCGAAATGCTTAAGAAATCATGGATTAAGAAATTCAGAGTCTCAGAACTTGAATAAAAACCCACAATTTCCATGCAAATCTTAGGATTTACATTTGAACATTAAGAATAATCGAGAGTCTGGCCGAAAAATTAAGTTTTCTTAAGCATCGCCTAAGGTGTACCCCCCCCCCTCCTGCGCGCTCCCCCCCCCCCCAAATTGCGGGCGCCGGCCTCTCGCAAAAAGCATTGGAAAGGCGTCGAGGGAGCGGCGGAGGCCAGCGGCACTGCTCGGCGCGGCTGGGCCTCCCGACGAGGAGGGCAGGGGAGCCCAGAGTCGAATCGACAAGTCGGATCGGCGATCGAAAGAAGTGTGATCGGCGAAGAAATCGGCAGCCCAGTCGGGAAGAGTGGAATCGGCGGGAATCGGCAGGCTGGTGTGCGTCCAAGAAGACATCGGAGTTCACATCGGAATCCGGAGTCGCATCGAGTCGGAATCGGAATCCATCGAGGTCGCATCGGATCGAGAGCGGGAGCAATCGAAACGAGCCCCTGGGAAGGTGGGCGCCGATCCTCCATGGCACTGTTCAGCGCGGCCAGGCACTGCGCCCTGCTTCTGGCCTCGTC